TACGAAAACATTGGTGAATGCCACAAATTCTCCTAAATCACTCGTACGCACAACTTAAGAACAAATCTGTGCGTATGAACGGTTCTTGCATGAGGCCCATTGTGTTTATACTCAAATTKTTAATCTATTAAAATTTACAACTGGCTGATTACAGGATACATTTCACTCAACACGTGAAAGTAATCAGCATTATTAGTATTTATGGGGGTATGCATCCAGATTTCTTTGTATTCCCAGAACAATTGAAGTTGTTATTTACCCCCTAATTGAAAACTTATGTCCATATAAACACACACACTCGGGCTCTAAGCCAAGAACAGCTCAACAAAGATAAAAAATAGCATTCAGTCGATTCACAGAACAAGTGGAGAATCCAGCAGGTTTAACTTTTAAAAGGAGACATTTCCTGCATGGCACCTGAATTAAATCTGACAGATGGCATGTGTTAATGCTTTCCACTTTGTTTGTGAGAGAGAACAAAGAAGAAGAAAGAACCTTCCCCACCACTAACACACACACACTTCCTGCAGGTAAATGCACACTACACACACGCATCAGTAGGAACGAGCTGGACGTTTGGTCTTTGTTTTCTCTCGTTTTGCAGCTTCTCTGATCTCTCTGTTCGTGTGAAAGATCACTTCATTCACATCTCATTCACGGTTACTCAGTTTATTCATTGCTGTAGCAGAGATGTGTGCTGGCTGCAATGTTTTAAAATAACACGGGGTGACTAAAATGAAATGGTATGTGTTTGTTTGCATTGTCATTATTTACACATCCTGCTCGTCCTGTCCTTTGGGACAAGTGATAGTTCAAAAAGCTGAAGGATACTCTCGAGTTCATGAATATACCTTAAATCTCTTGTCTTGCAGGACCTTCTTGATCGCCACTAGCTCCCCAGAGTCGCAGAGTTTTGCTTGATAGACGACGCCAAAAGAGCCGTTGCCGATGACCTTTGTGTCCGTGTAGCTCACCTCCTGTGGCCGGTCGGGGCCTTGGCCTGGAGTGGCCACAACTGTTGTTACCTTGCTGCCATCTTTATCACCTACAGAGAAAACAAARCAGACATATGCAGACAGTTACAACCAAGTGGTGAAGCTAATTAACAGCAAGAAAAGAGAACATGACAGCTTATGTAAAGAATAACAATAACCACTTATTTTTTACTTTAAAATGTTGAATTAAACCTCCTTTTTATTTCTCCATAGTTTGAAGTGTTTTTTTTTTGTGACAAAAGCTGCAGTCACACATGCACGACAGCCCTGTTATTTCCTGCAATATACATTATAAGCAAGGAGTATGTTAATGTGAACAATCTAAACCAGTTAGAAAAGCCTTTGCACAAACTTTATATGGACAGCTCCAAAGGCAAAGTAAGGCTAAAGTCCAGCTGATGATTGAATGCAGCACCAAGGACTTCCTATGTAGAAATAAACTATGATTTCTGAAACTAACTATATTCTCAACTTTCACTCCACTAAGTCACTTTACAGCTGTCAAAAGAATACATCTACCTAGACAATCTCAAGATAGTGTGCTAAATTTTCACCATATGCCTAATTATTGCTCATAAATCCATAATTTACATGTATGCAACAGGTAATTTATGCATATGGTCACACTTGTTACATTAGTCTATAACAATAAAAGTATCTGATATTGTGTTTATGCCCAAATTGTTGCACTATTAAATAGGGTTGGGCATAATCATATCGTGTGCAATTAATTGTCAGAAAAACATTAATCGATTACTTTTTGGCATTTGACGATTAATACAATTAATGCCAGCAGGCAGACTGACTGGGGTTTACTCCGATCAGTCCGCTCGGTGCTCCTCTCTGCTTCAAATGTGACGAATATTAAAAATAAAGTTCTGTAATTTATTTATCTATCAACACAATTTAAAATATGATGTACAGCCTGAAATCTGTAATTTTCACACAATTTGGAACAGATTTTTACAAAGAGCAAATCTTTCCCACTAAWTTTGTCATGTGACTACAAAATAAGGGTGTCCAGGGACACCAGGGGATTAATCGTTAAATTAATCGTTATCGGCTAAACACCACAATTAATCGTGATTAATTTTTTTGCCAATATTGCCCAAGCCTACTATTAAAATATACAACCGGCTGATTACAAGATACTTTTTACTCAACACGTGAAACTAATCAGCAATATTAGTATTTATAAGGCTATGCAACCAGATTTCCTTCATGTGGAGGAGAGTGATTGAGCATCAAGGGGTTAAAATTGGGTCCAGATCGAGTTGTAGCTGTGAAAGCAGCCGACACAAGTCAACATAAGTTCTCAAACTGGAGCCCCAGGACCCCCAGGGGTCTATGATATGCATCTTGGGGGTCCTCAAAAAATTTCACTAAATTGTTAATTTGTTTTTTTTAAATGCATGGAGAACAATGAACTAATAAAACAAACATAATAAACGTAATAAAAAAATATTTATTCCTGTGGCATTTAGCGGTTGAAATGACAAATTATCTTTTAAAACAGCATGGGATTTATGAAGGGGTCCCTGCAATTTTTCGCCCTTGTAAGGGGTCCCCAGACCCAAATGGCTTGAGAACCCCATGCTCTAAAACATTATAGATAGGGACTTAAGCAGCAATTATTCTGATTAATTTCAGTAAGTAGGTTTTAAAAAAAGGACAAAAAAAACCAACTGAAAAGCACATTAGGAAAAAGTCTTCAGACACAGACGAGGCTGAATGCCTTCCCTGTAAGAACCACAGAGAAGCAAACTTTTTTTTTCAGAGAAAGTCCCTTTTGTTGAAGAAAATAAAAAAAAAGTAAAATATTTAGAACCAGACTTTTGCTTTTATATAGACCACAACATTTGTGTTGCACAGTCAAATAACCACAGCACAGGGCAGTAAAACCTACTAATCCCACACAAGGAACATACTCTGGTGAGAACATTTATACTTCTGTTATTTGCTTAATGGTGCAGTTGATGGGAATGGTTTCAAAGTTACTGCTTCACACCATGTCTCTTAAAATTAACCATACACTTAACCATTAAGCATTTTGCATCTGACAAATTCATAATCCATGTCAATAACAATTCTTTGGGTCACAATTTGATTAGATTTTGGTAAGATTTTGATTCGATATCAACTTCCTAATATTAAGTAGTACACAAATAATTCATTAGAGTCCCTGTGAATAATTTTCAGAAATTTATTTTCTTGCTCATATAAGCAGAAATGGTATGCATAAACATTTTAGAGAAAGGAAATATCTGGAAATAAAGCAGTAGAACAATAATGATTCCTCTAAATATGGAATGAAAATATAAAACCTGACAAACTCAAGGATTAAAGTTTAAAAAAAAACCTTGGAACCTGAAGCTTTTTTGTGGTGGTGATATGATAGGAATGAAATCATAACATATTTTTACTCTTGTCAATCTGTGAGAATCTGTGCAAAAATCCACACTTTAGTTTGAGGCTTAATTTTGTGATTAGCTCATTTTTTTTAATTCAACACAAAGCAGCTGTGTCATCGTCATCAACATYCTCTCTGTAATAAATACWGTAATTCTGCAGCCAGGGGGTATAACAGAACATGCATCATCACCTCACTTTATTTAGCTWAATTAAAAATTGCAGATTTTCACATTAACTATGTATCTGAAAATAATCTCAACGAGAAAACTTTCATTTTTGGGGGGAGGAAGGAATCATGGACGTCAAACATAAAAGCAGACACACCTTGGCTATGGTTTTGGTCACACAAGTTTATGTCCCGAGCCAATATTGATTTCGGATATCGGTCCGATATCAGCCAAAAAATGAGTATCGGATTTTATCGGCCTGCATAAAAAATGTCCGATATAAGCGCTCCGATATAAGCATGAACTGTTTATCCAGTAGTTCACTGACTCCGCTCCAGTGTTTCTATCCAGCAGCGCTTGGATCCAGCATGTAGCGCTCGCGTGATCACAACAACATGCTGCGCTAACAAGTTAGCAAGAATGACAGCAGAACTTTCTATTTTCATCAGAAACAGAGTTGCAGCTAAGTGCAAAGTTGTCATGCACAAGTTTTCCGAGGGGGAACACAGAACTGTGTACGTTTTAAAACGGAGCAACAACTACTCTCCACCCTGGCAGCAGCTTTGCRGTTCGGCTCGGTTCGTTCAGCCTCGGTCCAGTGACCGCACACAGCCTAGCTGTTTCAGAACCTCCTCTCTGGTCTGGTCGGTGGTTCTAAGCTGGCAGAAGCGAGGACAGCACGCTTACAGTTTTGACATCCCGTGGATTAGCTCTGGGTCGATGGACAGAAGAAAGGAGCGCAGCTTTTGTTTTGAAATATAAGCGCGACATGATGAGAGCAGTGATAAAAACTGCTCCCTGCAGGAGCGAGAGGCTRATCTCCACATGATGCTCAGAAAATGCAGCAGTAAGAAAGGTAGCTATCAATTTAAATAACTGACTAATTCTTACTATTTGTTTTTTGCTCTTGTTATTAGAGTGATGTTTAATCTGTTTACACACTTGTTTGAGTGAAGATTAAGTGCAATGATCACGTTGTTTTGGTTACAGTCAGTAAAATTGGAGCTGTGGGCTCTTAACTTTGAACAGACAATAATGTGGGGTTTTGTTTTGTCCCCACCTTCAGTTKTTTCCACCATAAAGCAGCACCAGGCTGAGAGGTAGTAAAACAATAACCAAAGTGATTTTGAATTGTTATTTTATACTTTAAAAGAACATTTTGTTCTTATTATGTTTTATTTTTCAGGGTATTATAATTTATTTTATAAAATTGTACAATGTTCTTCAGTTTAAAATGTATGTGATCCATTGGTTAAAGATAAATGGTCAGTTTTTCTCATACCTACTCTTTTCACTGTTTGACCTGATCAAGACTTTTCTAAGATTTTACATTACAAAATAGGTAAAAGTGTGTGACGTGTACTGTTATGGTAATGGGTCAGTATCGGTATCGGACAATTCTCAAAGTTGTAATATCGGTATCGTATCGGAAGTGAAAAAGTGGTATCGGGACATCCCTWCACAAGTTTACATCTTTCTGTGTTCATAGTTATACACAAAAATTTAAGTAACCAAGTCAGACAGGCTGTGGCTCAAGAGCTGTTAGCACAACACTAGCTTTACACAGGTTGATTGGTAAGCCCCCCCAAAAAATAAATAAATAAACACTAAATCCTTTACCTCCTTGACTGTCATCAGGCTGCAGTCAGGCCACAGTTTGTTTTCTGGCACTTTAGCTGGAGTTAACATTTATCCATTTTAGTGTGACACATTCTGTGATCATCACCAACCGGACCGAAACAATTAAAGTCACTCCAGATTGCTCCCGACCGAAGCACAAACTGGCCAGGGGATCAAATCAATTCAGAGAATTTTCTGAATCAATATTGACTTGCAAAACAAATTATTGAYTTGCATTGCTGAATAGATTATTTTACCCACCCCAGCAGGTGCTAATATACAGTGGTTTGCAAAAGTATTCATACCCCTTGAACTTTTCCATATTTTGTCACATTACAACCACAAACATAAATATATTTCACTGGAATTTAATGTGAAAGACCAACACAAAGTGGTATACAATTGTGAAGTGGAAGCAAAATTATTCAGCCCCCCTGAGTCAATACTTTGTGG